GCTAGCCTGGCCCTGTGCGCTGACCCCTCTCTCCCCTTCAGGGATGCCCTGCAGCACCATGGCTTGGGGGCCGGGGGCACCAGGAACATCTCGGGCACCAGCCAGTACCACGTGGACCTGGAGCGGGAGCTGGCCCAGCTCCATCGCAAAGACGCCGCCTTGTTGTTCTCCTCCTGCTACGTCGCCAACGACTCCACCCTCTTCACCCTCGCCAGGATGATGCCAGGTACCCGGACGCCTGGGTTCTCGCCCCGGCTCTGGGAGGGGAGTGGTGTCTAGTGCTTAGAGCAGGGGGGCTGGGAGCCAGGACTCCTGGGTTCTCTCCCGGCTCTGGGAGGGGAGTGGGGCCTAGTGGTTAGAGCAGGGGGGCTGGGAGCCAGGACTCCTTGTTGTAGTTAAAGCACTGCCCAGGATCTTTTCAGGAGGGATGAGGCAAAGCGCCACATTTCTTGGTAATACATGTATCCATCCACACGGTGTCACATGCGTACAGTATATATCACACACACACACAAACACAAACATTCCGGCTTGTTGTTGTTACCAAGGAGTTGTTCCCCTTAACTGCACTGGCCAGGTGAGTTAGATGTGGGGCGGGAGGGGGGTAGTCGATCCGGATTGACGCTCCCATGTTGACAAGACGAGTCCCGGGGTCCTGTGCAAGACACCCCACTTTTATAGCAGCTTCAAAATCTGTCTGTGTCCGTCGGTCCTTTTGTGCTGCTCCTTCTGGGGGTGTCCCAATGCTGCCACATTTCTTTGCCAAGGGGGGTTTCCAAAAGCAGATGCTGGCGTCTAACCCCCGAGGCCGCCAATATGTCTGAGCTTCTCTAGTGAGCCCCCTGGACACGTGTTCTTGTCCTTGGTCTCCGCGGGGTGCAGCTGTCTGGAGGTGCTGCCTCCCGCATCCGCCCCTCGTTCATTCAACGGGGCAACTGACTAAAGGGGGGGGGACTTATTCTACTCCGAGCGAAAAGACATTTTTCTTCTACCTTAACCATCCGTAGGGGCGATAACTTTATACCCAGTCAGTACAAAGTTCCCATATCAAAGGGCTTGAGGAGCTCACAGGTAGATAGACCCAGTACAAAGTCATGGGAAAGTTATGCAAAGATGCTTAATGCAGAGATTTATCTACAGCCTGGGGTCTCGCTCCGGCTCTGGGAGAGGAGTGGGGGGGCTAGTGGTTAGAGCAGGGGGGGCTGGGAGCCAGGACGCCTGGGTTCTCTCCCCAGCTCTGGGAGGGGAGTGGGGTCTGGTGGTTAGAGCAGGGGGTGTTGGGGCCGGACTCCTGGGTTCTCGCCCCGGCTCCGGGAGGGCAGTGGGGGCTGGTGGTTAGAGCAGGGGGGGCAGGAGCCAGGACTCCTGGGTTCTCTCCCTGGCTCTGGGAGGGGAGGGGAGGGGGGTGCAGGACGCCTGGGTTCTGGTCACAGCACTAACACCCCCCCCGCCCCCCTCCCAGGCTGTGAGATCTTCTCGGACGCGGGGAATCATGCCTCCATGATCCAGGGCATCCGCAACAGCGGGGTCCCCAAACACGTCTTCCGGCACAACGACCCCCAGCACCTGGCCCAGCTGCTGGGGCGCAGCCCCCCCGGCGTCCCCAAGATCGTGGCCTTTGAGACCGTGCACTCCATGGACGGTAGGGACCCCCCCGCCCTGCCACCCCCCCCCACGGTCCCACATCCCAGGGACCGCCCCCACAGCTGCTCCCTCTCCCCCCGCAGGTGGGATCTGCCCCCTGGAGGAGCTGTGTGACGTGGCCCACGCGCACGGCGCCCTGACCTTCGTGGACGAGGTTCACGCAGTGGGGCTGTACGGCGCCCGTGGGGCCGGCATCGGGGAGCGTGACGGGGTGCTGGGCAAGGTCGACATCGTCTCCGGCACCCTGGGTGAGTCGGGGGGGAGGTACCGTGGGGCGGAGGGTGCTGGGGGGCAGGGGCCTGGGCAGGGGGCGCTCTCCCTTGGCAGTGCCGGGCACTGGGGGGTGCTGTGGGGCAGGGAGCGGGGCAGAGGCACTAGGGGGCGCTGTGCTGTGGGGCAGGGGGCTCTCCCGGCAGGCGGGGGCTGGGCACTAGGGGGTGCTGTGGGGCTTGGGGGTCTCCCCGGCAGGCCCTGTCTCACCCCGCTCTCCCCCCCAGGGAAGGCCTTCGGCTGCGTGGGGGGGTACATTGCCAGCACGGCGGCGCTGGTGGACACGGTTCGCTCCTACGCGGCCGGCTTCATCTTCACCACCTCGCTGCCCCCGCCGGTGCTGGCCGGCGCCCTGGCATCCCTGCGGGTGCTGGCCGGGCCCGAGGGCCGGGGGCTGCGCCGGGCCCACCAGCGCAACGTCAAGCACATGCGGCAGCTGCTGATGGACGCCGGGCTGCCCGTCGTCAGCTGCCCCAGCCACATCATCCCCATCCGGGTACGGCCGGACGCCTGGGTCCT